AATTACGTGCCATACAAACCGTGAGGGCAAGTTTTGTTAGTTACTTATATAGGTAGGAGTCCAGGTGGTGTGGGACTTAGGCCATGTGTTCGTTATATAAAAGTGAAGATGGCGTTTATGTGTCAAATCAGTTTTGAGTTTATTCATGAGTTATGAACAACACAGTAAAACGTCCAGGTTTTGAGCGTCCATATCTTGTGTATCACCTGTGATTTTTTCATCGTGGAAATTTGCTAGCGACGGAGGGTTGATCATCACATCGACGCCTACGTGCTGATCCAAGGGGATCATTATTTTTGTTTGTGTATTTTTATACGCGGGTGAAAATTATTCTTGGAGGTTGCGAGGAGGAACAGGAGGACGGACTATTAATCAAGCATCTCGTGAAAGATCGGGCTATCTACGCGCGCGAATTAGCATCTCGCTAGTTTGTGCTTCATCAAATGGTATTCAGAGCTAAGGTTAGTCACGGCGATTCAGTTTGCAATATCATCTATGGAGGCGAGCATCAACATGTGGATCAAGAACGTATTGATGGAGGAGGAAGGCATTGGTGGGTCATTCTTTTTCACTCTCGTTGCGTCGTGAACGAGCGACGTGTCAATCTGACGATCAATGAGAGTACTGCAGTCAACATGGTGAGCATCAAGGTGGTGGAAAAATTGGGGCTGAATATGACGCCTCTTGAAAGACCATACATGCTGAAGTGGTTCAAAAATGAAATTAAAATTATGCATCGGATTTTGCTATTTTTACTTTGGGAAAATATTGTTGTGCGGAATTTTTTCACGTTTGTCCTATGCCCATGGTGTCGTGCCATCTACTACTTGGGAATCCATGGTGCAAGCATGTCGGGGCTATTCGGGATGTCCAAAAAAATAACTTCTCTCTATCATGGAAGGGCCAAAAAATTTATTTTATTCCTATGCCAATGGATGTGTTCACGGCAGATTGGGAAAATCTTTTGCTGAAAAAAAAGAGAAAAACAACACGATGAAACAAAGGAAGAAGTTGATGCACCGAAAGAGGGATTGAATCTGTTGTTGGAGAAGGTAAAAAAAGATGGTGGTGCTAAGGGACAGCGATGGAGTGTTTTCAAAACACAATGCATGATCAAGGGCCATGCATGCAAGATGATAATTGACGGTGGCAGCTTTACCAATGCCATTAGCAAGGATGTCGTGCATGCTTTGGGTTTGTCCATGTGGCGGCACCCCAGCCACACCATGTGAGCTGGTTATATAACTCTAAAAAATTAAAGATTACACATAAGGTACGTGTACCTTTTGCGGTTGGAGCTTATATTGACAAGGTAGACTGTGACGTTATACCAATGGATGCGTGCTAGTTGCTATTGGGAAGGCCGTGGCAGTTTGATCATGATGCAGCGCATGCCGGAAAATCCAACACTTATACATTCATGCATGATGGAAAGAAGCACATATTGAAACCGATAATGGACAGTGCAATTAATGTACACATGCGAGTTCCAGAGAAGGAGGTGCCTTTGAAAGTTATCTCAAAACCGAGGACGGTTTTGTTTAGGAAGGGAGGATGATACAAACACGACAACGTCTGGTATATCAAAGAGTGTGGCTGCTATTGAAGTTAAACAAACCGAATCGAGGGAGAAGAGCTTATTCGAGAATGTTGGAGGAACTACCAAACGTTCAAATATATTGCACTGTGGTAGAGATGGCAAGAAACGTGAGCTATGTGGACCTGGTTTTTGTGCCATTAGTTGTGGAGACGCAATATACAAGAGGGTCAAAATTACACGGCAGCCAAGATTGAAGCGAGGAGTAAATTGCAGTCAACCCATACATGTGAGCGTGTGCATGCACACAGGCTCTTGAAGCAAATTAAACCAAGAGATAAAATATTATACAGTTTGAATCAACTTGTCAAGGGGACACAAGTACACAACCAAGAGCCTAAGACAGAAGAGATTACGCCCACTTTTCATACACCTCCACGATGGGTTAAAATTGGGACCATGAAGCTGAAGCTGCATGTTGGGTCCTAATTGCATGGAGATTAGTTTATTTTTTAGTCCCTTTACCTTATGTACGATTGTGTCCTTTTAAAATTAGGAAGTATATCTTTTTGTTAGTTACTCCACGACGAGTAAATCGAAACGGAGGGAGTAGTAGTTTTTCTTGTGCTAATTACGTGCCATACAAACCGTGAGGGCAAGTTTTGTTAGTTACATATAGGTAGGAGTCGAGGTGGTGTGGGCCTTAGGCCATGTGTTCGTTATATAAAATTGAAGATGGCGTCCATGTATCAGATCAGTTTTGATTTTATTCGTGAGTTATGAACAACGTAGTAAAACGTTCAGGTTTTGAGCGTCCATATCTTGTGTATCATCTGTGATTTTCCCATCGTGGAAATTTGCTAGCGACGAAGGGTTGATCATCACATCGACGCCTACATGCTGATCCAAGGGGATCATTATTTTTGTTCGTGTATTTTTGTACGCGGGTGAAAATTATTCTTGGAGGTTGCGAGGAGGAACAGGGGGACGGACTGTTGATCAAGCATCATCGTGAAAGATAGGGCCATCTACGCGCGCGAATTAGCATCTCCCTAATTTGTGCTTCATCAAATGTGCCATGTGATGTAAGTGAATTTACCATGTGAACATATATGAATTTGTCACGGGAGCTGAACATCCTTCTACGGCCAGCTGACCACAAGTAAGCTAGCCCATCCTTTTATGTTACTTTAGGAATTTTGTGACGATTTTAATCATGAGAATGTTGCGCAAGTGATTCTTCTTGCCAATGCTGATGTGAAATACAGTTATACATATCCACTGGTCTGGCTGTAGCTTGCTGATTTTTTCTACTTATCTTGCACGCAAGGTGTTTGTGTTTTTGTCCAAACTGCTATCTGTTGGTAGACCATAAAAGTCAATGCCATCTGAACATAAAGCACGTGTTCTCATTGTGTTCATACTCATAGCTATTTGTCAATTTGTATATGCTTTAGTTAATTTTCTCAGATTTAGCAACCTAAAAAATCATGCAATGCTTATACTGTAGGTTGTGGTTGAAAAGACCTGGCTTAGAAAAATCAAGAATCGAAGTCATAACCACAAGCCATCTAGTAAAATCCACAATATGGAAGGCCACGTTCCTGCCAAAGATATTACAAATGTTCACTCGACGAACCAATGTGCGTGTTTTTATTACTGGTGCCGAATTATTATCCTTATCGATCTTTGCCTTGATATACCATGTGTTTTTGTGTTGTTTTGTTTGGTGGGGAAATAGTATATATCGCTGGAAAGTGGAATGATCCTTTAGATGAAACCAGAAAAAAAAGGCAGCCCGGTGCATGTAGCTCCCGCTTGCGCAGGGTCGGGGAAGGGTCCGCGGCTACATTTCTGTAAGATGCTGTTCTCAAGACTTGAACCCGTGACCTCATGGTCACAAGGCAGCAGCTTTACCACTGCGCCAAGGCTCCCCTTCTTAGATGAAACTAGAAGTGCTATGAAAATGAATTCTTATCATTGTAAGCATTTCCATGACGAGGATAGATCTGCAAATGACTTCATATGAAGGGAAGCCTGTTTGCAAAGGAATAGTGAGTATAAAAGAATGAGACGTGAGTACAGTGCAAGCTGTAACAATGCACCACCAGTAGGAAAATTCAAGAGCTCATAAGAACATGTACATGGCAGGTTTCAGTCATTAGCTTGTCCTTGTGAATGTTCTAGACCAAAAGATATATATTTGCGTGGTACTAGATTCTAGCACATACAGTACTTAAACCTATAGATTTACCACTCTTTTATGAGTTATAGCATATAATAGAAATCTAGCAACAGAAGTGAGCACATGTGATTTTTATGATATAGAGCCATTGGACTTCACATGTATGTGCAAGATACAAATATTTTTCAGCTTTAACATACAACAGAAATATCCTATCAACAGAAGTGAACACATAACATTTTCCTTTACTGAATGAAGAGGGTTCTTTACTCATTCGGAATCAGATTTATAGAGTCATTGCAAGCCAACTCAACAATGGTGGGACATGCCCCATCCATAGATCAGTAATCGTAATCTGATGCGCCTGGGCAGCAAAACCATGTGCCAGCGTATTGCAAGACCTGGAGCGTGCCACCTGTCGGCGTATGCTGTGTGCAGCCGTGGCTGCCGGGTGCGGGCACCGCCGTACCTACCGATGACGACTGAGCGAAGCGAGCACGAGTGCCCCATGGCCAGGTCGTGCGCTGCGCCTGCGCCGTGGCGGTCCTCGAGTTGGCGTTCGGCGGGTTGGGGGATGGGGGCAGGGACGGGACAAAGGGACGGTGGTGTGCTGGTGCTCTGACAATTTTTTTCTATTTTCCTGAGGGCACACCGCTCGACAGCCAGAGGCAAGGAGCTGACCTGGTGTTGATGTCCAAGTGATGGCGGAGAATGCTAGGAGATGATTACATTGGAACATAATTTGATCCCGTGAGTGACTTACCAGTTTGAGAATATTAACTTCGAGTTTGTAAAGTAAGTGTTATTACTGTTGACATGTTTTGGAAATTTGAAAAACAATTAAAAAATTTCAGGAACACTGTAACTAGGCAAGAGGTTGTGAAGCTAAAACTCCATAGACAAAGTGCTTGACTTGCACTTAAAATTTTCTTGTTCGCACGAAAATTGTAATAAACATTGCACATGTGCACGTGCCTTCGACTATAGTATCAAAAAGGGCAAAACATCCAAGTCCAAACTAACTAGTGGCAAAAGACCAAATAGTACTAGAAAGTAAGCAGTGGAAACTTGTCAAAGTCCCAAGCTAAGAGTGGCAATTTTTTTCTTTCAAATTCCCCTAGTTAAAATGCAAATCAAAGAGGCCCTAAGATTGATGAGATCGTAATCCAACGGCTGTGAGTGAGACTCGTGATCCGTCTGGTTTTAGGGATCTCGCAGGCCCGCAGAGGCCTCGTCAGCCCGCGCGGCGGAGGAGAAAGAGGAGTCGTCGCCGTCCGAATGAGTTGGGGGGAGACGTCGTCGAGCTCCAAGGCGGCTGCTCCGCCGGCCATCCGCCTCGTCAGCTTCGTCTCCGAGGAGCAGGCAAGGCTGCAGTACCCTAATCTCTGCCTCTCTTTCGATTGCCTGCCTGCCTACTACCCTAGCGCGTAGAATCGGATGTGAAAAACCTAGAAAATATTGCTGAGATTTTGGCGGGGTGGGGAAAAAAATTCGCAGCTCGACGAGGCGAAGCGGTCGAGAGGGGAGCGGGTGGAAGACGGCACCGCCCAGCGCGACAAGCCCCTCTTCCAGGTTTTTATTTATTTTTCTCTTTCTCGCCCTCGCTTCCATTTGCTTGCCAATAATCCTCTACCGGCGACGGTACTGATGGCTAGTGCTTATCTTCACGCTGTGCAGATCCTGCAGGAGAACAAGGATAAGAAGGATGCCGAGTTCAATGAGCGCTTCAAGCACAGTAAGTTATCCACCCACTGCACCACTTCCCATCTTGAGCAATGTTAAGTTGCTTAGTGCAGCGGTGCCCATCAAAAGGATGCAGTCAGTTAGAGCAAGTAAGAAGTGAGTTGCAATGCAAACACTAAGCCTACGGCCCAAAGTGTTTACTGATAAGCAAAACATGTCTATGCTAGTCATGGTTATAGTGTCGATACAGTTGGGCTTACCTGTACTTTTTCTGAAACAAAGAGGAGTGTATCCTTGCTCTGGCCTGAACCTGGGATAAATTGTAAAACATGTTTTGGTCTTGTTGGACAGCCTTTTCTAACTTGCTCTCTTTGCCGTTACTCGGTTGAAATGGCTAAAACACAAGATGCAGGGTCCTGGGTAAGGGGTTGGTTATTTTCTTCTTCTTGTTTTCTGATCGTTTTCTTGCTCTATCCAGGACCCCCAAAGGCTTTGGATGAGGATGAGACAGAGTTTCTTGACAAATTGGCTTTGGTAAGCATCTTAATATATTGCTAGCATAAAAAATGATTATTCAAGCTAGACAGTAGAAACTATAGGTACATATTGTTGATCATTTGTATGCCACTCCCAGAAGGGGATTTGGGGAATTTCGCGGGGTTTTGATAGGGTTCTCGAGGGTTTCTGCAAAATGTGTATAGGGAAGAAAGAGACACGCTACAGCTAACTGGACTAGTTTATCATCTCAATTCTTACTTCTCATTCACAGCCGAATCTACATATATGGTGCGGGTACATTAATCACTCAGATGAGCAGTGTGTAGGAGTAAAACAATTACATGAATGGTAAATGATTCAAGACTCAATGGTTGATAAAATTGCCCCATCTACTGTTAATTCTCGCTGCTGTCTTGATGGGATCTGGGCCGTCTGTTATCTGAACCCAGAAGCGTTGCCGATGACACTCTTCTTGTCAGACTAAAGGGGACAGCACACCAGAGCTGACAGTATATCTATCAGTTTCCTCTCTGGATTGAAATATTGAACTAAGATAGGATTTTCTTTGCTACATTCTCAGTGCATTCATATAGCTGCCTGAAGCCTTTTTGCCCTTGGCCTTGATACCGCCTTAGGGATTGTTAGATTCTTGGGGTTTGATGCCCCAGGTGGATTCAATACCTATGGGGTTTCAGTTGACCCCCTCCTGCCACTCTTTTACCAAAAAAGGCTCTCCGCCTGCTTTATATATAAGCAACGACCAACATACAGCCAACGGTACAACACGCCAACACCACACAGACACCCGAGGCAAGATACAGAGGTGCTAAGGAGCAGCCACAACGCCCCATACAACTCCAAGTACACCACAGATAAACACCAAGCCTCACTATAAGTCGAAGGAGCTCCCAACTGTGAGCAAGCCACCGCGAAGAGACGAAGCTGCACACTGACGACCCATGAGCTCTTTCCCCCCTGGGGTTTCAGTTTCTAATCCGTGTATAATCCTCCCATTCAAAATTAGTTTGGTTACCGGAGGTCAAAGTGGATTTGACAGTGGCAATGCTAAACAGTAATCATCCATGTCTAGCAATTTGACAGTGACACCAGTACAAATCATCCATGCCACATTGACACCTCCAGGAAAGATAAAAACAAGAATAACCTTCACGTTGATACAAGTCACTATTGTACACAACTCCATACACATAATTTGGTCTGAAAAATACGCAAGTTAACCAGAGAAGGGAATCTAGTTTCTCTAGTAAGAACAAAATAAACATCTCTGTCCACATCTAATTTTAGTGCCAGACTACCGCTGTGCTGACATTTTTTCTGCACAAGAAACTACTGAATTATGTTCAATAAGTGTCAGTAAGATGAAAAGCAACTATATAGCCAAAAGCAACACACTGCAGAGGTGCCATGGTTTGAGTTAACTTGTACAGCAAAATGAACAGTTTGTACAGCCATTTTGTCATCCAAGGCCTTAGCTCTTAATGCCTGCTTCCTTCTGACGGTAAGTTTTCCTAACCAACTGCCCACAAATTTTTAGTAAGGAGCGTTCCTCAGAACTAGATTTGATAAGATCTGAGCTTAGCAAAACCGGGACAAGAAAATCTTAAGGTTCAATGAACTTGTTTTATTCTCAAGGCAGAGAAAGTAGACAAATTAGAGTGACCATACCCTTGCAGTTCTCATGTGTAGCTTCTCAGCATCTCCTTACTCAAGGATCTTGAGTTAAGTTTGTGAAATAATTTCAGCTACAAATCGTGAAAAATTGGCTCGATTCTTGCCATGCAAAGATAAACATGTAACTAGTGCTTCAAGGTTCGAAAAACTGGTGCAAAAAAGAAAGGAAACAAATGGCTATGGTACCTTTTCATGACCATGTATTGTGCAAACCAAGGATAATAGTGTTCCTGAAGCACTTTATTAAATTATTTTGCCTTGGCTTCCGTATTAGAGGTGGATATACTGCCATGATGGTTCAGAAGCCTAAATAAATCCAACCATGTCAATGAGGAAAAGGGATTAGGCAGCAGTAAAGCATATCAAAACAGTAAGCAAGTGGCAGGATCTTATTATCCTAACAAAATGCCAGCAATCCCCAGGGCCATTCCACCTTCAGTTCCAATTTAATAGTTGCCCCAAAGATTTTTTACGGTTGCCAAAAATTATGTACCCTTCTCTTTCTGTGACGAGTTACCTCCATGGTTTCAATTGATGAAAGCATGCTACTCCGTAGAAAGCAAGTTAACATTGAGTTTGTTTTGACTTGATGAAATCCTGACAAATTAGAGAGACAATTTCAGCATGAGTAGCTCGAAGATGTGAAATCTGCAAACATAAACATGCTGAACATTGCAGTACAGTGGCCACTCTATTACACGATCCATGAAGTGTTACAGTGCTGTTGTACCAAACATAAACATCTACAGCCAAATAACACGACCAGGACCGGGATGGACAGGATTGTGGGGGAATAGGCCGGGTGGGATCCTGAGAGGGATTAAGCGAACATGTTTTTAGGTGTGAGCAGGGATACATACCCGGCGGGGCTGATCCTGGTTGACCCATGGGGATTGGGTGTCGATCCTGGCTGATCCCTGGGTATCCGAACAGGGCCTAAGAGGGTTTGAGGCACACAAGAATTGTGTGGCTGGATCCAGTTCATACTGCATTCTTTGATCATCGTGATTGACAGGCTTGTCAATATCTTTGCATCCATTACATATCTATTATCTAGACTATTTATTTATATTATATTGTGTAGTTTTTGTTTTTGGCATGATGCTGCTTTGACTTTTCCATTGCTTCGGAGAGGTCTTTTCCCCAGGGGAACAAGAGTCCACAAGTAGTTGCATGCCTCGACTATCTCAAAATTGAACTAAATTTTGGATATAATTGATAGTATAACACTGTAATAGATAGTATAACCTGTATATATTTCCACCTTCTCAATGAAAAGGCAGCGCTCCTGCCGGTTGCTTGAAAAAGGTATAACATTATGTATTTGCATGTCAATATTGTGCACATGTATTTACTAATTACTATTTTCTTTTTTTGTACAAGTCACAGTAAACTAGGCAGTCAATCTGCATTCCTTTCACCCTTCCTTTTACAATAGAAAGGGGAAAATAGCTTCCTAGCAGTTTTTTCAAACCTGCAGGCCTACCCAACTGGAACAAAACTAATAAGAACTAAAAACATAACAATCTTAGATCCTAACTGAACTGAAAACAGGCTTTAGTTTAGAGTGAGACTGATTAAGCTTCATGTCGGTACCATTAGTGCCGCCATTATCCATTCTCTAGTGACCAGGTGTCCTAAGTTTGTGATAGCACCCACTACATCAGAGAGCAAACACCTAAGGCACATTGTATACTGAGACAGAAGTACAGGATACCAGCCAACCGCCTTAGGATTTAACCCTTTTTGTGTGGTTAGAATTAAACTAGCAACCACATTATTGAAAAATAGTATTTTGTTGATCATTTATTGCAACCACAAATATTTCTTGAGTTTCAACATAAATCAACCACAATTATTCTATAGAGATGAATTTGTTTTCTTACACCAATTTAGTATTCACCTTCTTTGGGTAACTATGCTGAACATTATTAAGAAAAGGTAGCACTACTATTTGCAACTTTGGTGAATAATATTACAAGAGACCACAACTTCATTATTTACCTTGGGTACGATTTTGGGTAAAGGAGGCATGGAAAATGTGCGCTGCTATTTTCCTCAAGAGGATCCTTCTTTCCAATTCATGACAATAATTGGTCTTCGGACTTAACAATTGTCATAGGGAAATTCTTAAAACTGAAAAGTAGGGAATTGTCTGCAGTAAAATGGCTGAGTAGTACTCTAGTACTGGTCTTTGGCTATTTGATATTTGAATACATAAGAATTTTGGACATAAAACATGAGATTTGAAGTATGCTAATGTAGTCTGTATCTTGTGCTGCCATGCAACATCTTACTCTTTTCAATTTACTATGGTGCAGTCAAGGAGAGAATATGACCAGCAGGTGGCCAATGAAGAAGCTGAACAACTCCGTAGTTTCCACGTGAGTAATATTACTAGTTCCTCTGTTCATTAATACAAGACGTTTTTTAGACTTATGGTAAGTCTAAAAAACAATGTACAGCGGGAGTAACATGTTGCGTGTATGACCCTTATTTTCAATACTGCAAATGTCTGTGTCTTTCATGTAGAAATAGAAAATACAATAAAACATGAAATCTGATTTATACGCCTTGACTGGTTGCGCATGGGTGCATTTTTGTCCGTCTAGCATTTCATATTCATTAACAGATAAAAAAAAGTCAAGGTGTGACTGGGGAAATTTTTGTCATGTGGGTATCTAGCTATCATCTGAAAACAACAGATAGTGGAGCCTTTTAATCCTCCACACCTGATTCTATGCTTGGTCTTAATAAGCTTGTAATGTTCAGCAATTGTTTCAACATCACAAGAATGTGGGTAGGCAGGATAGGAAGGCTTGCTTGCTACAATTAAGGTTGTAACTATACTTTGGTGGTATGTGATCTGCCAAGCGGACCAAGGTGGCTCACTCACATGGCATACCTAATGAATGTGTTTTTCCCTTCAGGAGGCTGTAGCTGCCCAGTCCACTATTGCTCATGAACTTGGTGAGATGCCTACAGTCTCTATGCCTGAGGTAAGCTACAACAAGAAAGCATATTTAATTTCATGCTAGGCAAAAATTACATTTAGATATTGCACATGTAGCCAGTTGCTATATTTGCATTCCCCATCATGATGGCAGAGGCAAATGAAGCATTTCTTCAACCAAATTGCCCTGGTTTTCATCTTTGTTTATAAATATCTGCTCTTCTTCAGGAGAGCAAGCCTAAACCGCCTTCTAAGAGGAGCCAGCCTGAGTTCCTGAGAAACATTACAGTTTCCGTGAAGCCACGAGCCAAGAAGGCAAAATCTGACGCGGAATGTAAGCCTGCTCCTAAGGAGTTGGTGCCTTCGAATGGGCATGATACAAACCATGAGCCACATGGTGACACCAAGAGCAGCGTGCTTGGCTCTCTGGCTGCATACGGGGACGACGACGACGACGATGAAAGTGGCGATGAACGATGACCAACAGTAACATCCAAGATTTCTAGAGTGCTCAGTGTTGCATACCAGAATCTCACTGCAACGCTGCAGCAGCCTGCAAAAGGGTTTTTTCTTGGCGAGATGCAAAGGATGCATCCATGATTCCGTTGCAGTGTATGAACGTTTTGTCGTAGGCGATGAGTTCTGTCTGACAAAAGGATCTAACCCCGTAATAGCAAGTGAAACGATCTTTTTAGTGCGATTATGGTACTACATGCAATCACAGCCAGTATTCACCTATCAAAGGCCACAGCCATCCATCTGATCATTGCACAAAAATCAGACTGGAAAGATCGTAGGTGCAGTAATTCCGAGTGAAATCTATAAATGAGCGACACGCTATTTCTTGCCTACTTTTTTTTTGAGCCGAGGCTACTTCTTGCCTACTTTTGTTTTTTAGACAAGGCTATTCCTTGCCAACTGTGAGATCTAGGTAGGCTCACCTTTGGCGTGAGGCTACTGGGCTGGCGCAGTGCTGTAGCTATAGTGCGATTGCTTTTCATCGGTTTCTTTGTTTTTTCTTAGGTTTTCATGGGTTTCCCTCGGTTTTTCCCCTTTTCCTTTCTTCAACACATGTCTATTATTCTTTCAATACACATTGTACATTTTTCTTGTAGACACGTATCATTCTTTTATACGCGTTGAGCATTTCTAAATTACATGATGTACATTTTTTTAAATATATGTTTTTTAACATTTTTGTATACATGTTAAACATTAATAAAATACATTTTGAATATTTTGAATGGCATGAAACTTTTTTCTAAACTAAGAGAATATTTTTTATATTGTATACACATTAAAAAATATATCAGAAACACATTACAAAATTTTGAAATACATCACATTTTATATTGCATACATTTTTTCTGAACGGTATGCAACAATTTTTTGAATTACACGAACAATTCTTAAATTGCCATGATTTTTTTAAAACGTATGAACATTTTTTAAGTTGGTTGTGAGATCTTATGGGTTTCACCTCTAGCCTATCCCAACTTGTTTGGGATTAAAGGCTTTGTTGTTGTTGTATGAACATTTTTTAAATGTCATGTTCATCTTTTCGAATTGTATTAAATATTTTTTGAATCATGCTAACTTTTTTTACATTGTACAATTATTTTTGAAAAAATGTCACAAACATTTTTTTAAACACGTGAGCATTTTTTGGATGCTATCAACACTATTTTTTGAATCATGTGATGGATGTTTTTTTAATTTAAGAAAAATATTTTCCCATTTAAGAAATATAAGTTTTTTAGGGGTGTTTAAGAAA